CGTTGGTGCCTTTTATGCCCTCTTGTCTTGTAAATGTAGATGCATTTTATGTGTACGTTTAGCAATTCATGTGGCTATTACACGCCATTTCCTGCCCATTACATTTTTATGTTTCTTCCTAAAAACAAAAAAACCAGCCTCTTACGTTGCTTTACGACTGTAATAAGTATTGATTAATTGATTGATTGGGAGCCGTCATCCCTGCTAGCCAAATGTTTATGAGATGGACTGCAGCTATTTCCGGGACACGAAGCTGAGCATTAAATGGCCAGGTGTGTGTGAGCTGCTGTTTGATAAAAATCAGGAATAAAAAGAGTTTTAATTGTTAAGCCGCCCCGAGGCCAGAACCTGCGATGGGTGGCTGTATAAATCGAATGGATGAATTAATAAAGGAATAAATAAACTACCTCTGATTCCAAGGGGAGGCCTCGTCCTTCCAGGGTCTGTTCCTTGTTCTGTCCCTGGAGTCGAGTCCACGTTGTCTCTGGCGCTCTGCAGATGTTCACAGGCCAGCTAAACATCAGTGCAGCATTCCTGGGCTTTTTCCTTCAGGTCACTGTCCTTGAATTAAACCCAGTTTCATGGAAATAGAATCATAAGGCCTGAAGGGACCTCAGAGATCTTCTAGCCCAACCCTCTGCTCAAGGCAGGAGATTTATCCCGGTTAAATGATTGTCCAGTCTATTTTTGAAGGCCTCCAGTTCGTGGCTTATTTTCTGCAATCCCCAAGTCTGTCTGAATCCAGCTGCCCCTTTATTTATGGGATTCGTCCAGCTGTGCGGGGAAGGGGGGGGTCCTTCCAAGTCCCCCTTTTGTTTACCTGTCCAATTGAAGCCAACCAGGTTTGTTTGTGGTTTGGGTTGCAAACAAGGTCCACAAATGTGTCCTGTGAACCATCCTGAAGCCTTCAGTTTCACAGACACACACACACACACCAAGCCTCCAGGAGGCCCAAAATGGCTCTGTTTGGGCCCCATCTTGGAAGCACCTTCGGAAAACCAGGTGAGTTTTGTCCCCTGGAGGATCTGACTCCCATCTTCCAAGAGAAGCTTCTTGACTCTGGGTTTGAGGTCTCATCTGGACGGCTGGCGAAGCTGGACACCCTCCACGCAGCTGGGATGGAAGCAGATCCCTTTTCCCCTCACAGCTGCCCTCCAGAGCAGTCCTTCCCCACCAAAGCCATTTTCCAGATGTATGTGGACTTCAACTCCCACAATTCCACACCCAGCGTGGCCATGGAGGAGAATTCTGGGAGTTGAAGTCCCCAGGCTTGGAAGTGTCCGAGCTGTGACTAGGCCCAAAAAGGCCTCAGTTCCAGAAGTGATGACAACTCCTCTCTTCAAGTCCTAGAGGCCTCCCTTTTTCTAATAAAAATAGGAAAATCTTGATTTTCTGGGCTTGTGGGAGGAAACGGAGTGCCCTTTGGGGCCCAGTATCTGTTAAAGGCCAATGGAGGCCATTTTAGGCGGCAGGTCTGCCTCAGCTACGTCATTTGTGTAAATGGAAGTCGTTTGCGGAAAAGATACGTCAGGTGCGTATCTTTATCTCCTTGCCCAATGGACATTATTGGAGTAAAAAAGTACCTCACCTTTTACATTTACGCCACTGGCGTAGAAGTACGTAATTTGCGTAAATCGCCTGTCGTGTGCCTAAAATAGAATAGAATAGAATAGAATAGAATAGAAATAAAGAATAGAATAGAATAGAATAGAATAGAATAGAATAGAATAGAATAGAATAGAATAGAATAGCTTTATTGTCACTTTAAATGTACACTAATCAGCATACATTAAAATGAAATTTTGTTGCATTCAGCTCTCAAAGGGTAAATATCTCCAATATACAATACATAAGCATGACAAAAGATTAATCATATAACCACATACATGCACATATACAACACAAACAACACGTTTATGTCCCTTGCGCAAATGGACGCTACTTGCTGCAAATGACACCACGCATGTAAATTTGCTTACACCCACATAGACTTTTATGCACATTGGTGGTTCAAAAACCAGATTATTACCAATTAATAAAAGTTATTTGCGGGGATTGACCGTACTAAAGCTCAACAAAACAGCTTAAGAAACTCCTTACACACGTCTGGGTGTGTTTAGTTTCTAAATCTGGCTGAACCCCAGCTTTAGCAGGCCGCGTAAAATAAAAACAACTTTTAAAAAACGAAAAGAGGAAGATCTGTATTTGATTTATTTCCCCCCTGTGCAAAATCAAGAGAACTGCATCCTTCTTGTCTGCATTAGCCGTGATTTCTGTGCAAAATTCCACAATTGGGTCCAATTTCCCAGGCGGTGTGTTTTGTGTTTGTCTCCCCCCATTAAACGATTGGTGCAGGAGTCAAGCCCTTTGTGTTCCTGTATGGAACACACATATGGAAGTCAGCGAGCTGTAAAATACTTACACAAACTACAGTTGTATCTCATTTGTTTACAGGTTTTCACCAGGCTGCCAGAAAAACAAAATAAATAATAATAATAATAAAAGACCAAGAGGAATGAATGGCAGCTGAATCGGATTCTTAACAGCTCTCTAAAGATGCACTGATTATTTACAGTATTTGGTTGCAATATTTGTTAGCTCTGCTAGTGCATTCAAGCCATGGGAAGGAACGGTGTAGCAAAAAATAAAGACAACACAGAAATGAAACAATATAGAAAATGTCACTTTGTCACATGTCACTTTGTCCACTTTGATCCCTTCTGCTTTGCAGCTGTGGGTTCATTATGGAGTTGACATGTGTCAGGGGATTTCACACACACACACACACACACACACACACACTCACACTCACACACACACAAATCTGGCATTTTCCTCCAAGGGAAATCTGGAACTTTCAGAATTGGGAAGCTGTTTATAGCTTCTCCAGATACCCTGGAGTAGATCCAGTCGGAACTTTACACCTAGAAAGTCTAATTTGCTTCCTTCTTTCCTCCCTCCTTTCATTTCTTGTTTTTTGCATGCTTTTTACATTCCTTCCTTCTCTTTAATTTTTCCTTTCTTCCTTCACTTTCATTTTTCCTTCCTCGTTTTCTTTTCCTTCTTTCCCATGCATTTTTCCTTCCTTCTTTCATCTTCCTTCCTCCGTTCTCATTTTGCCTTCCTTCGTTTTCCTTTCTTTTTCCTTCCTTCCCATTCATTTTTCCTTACTTCTTTGTCCTTCTTTCCTTCCCTTCCACCTTCCTTCCTTCATTCCTTTCTCCCTCCCTGCTTTCCTTCCTTCCTCCCTCCGTCCCTCCCCCCTCTTTATCATCTGTCTGTCTGTCTGTCTGTCTGTCTGTCTGTCTGTCTGTCTGTCTGTCTGTCTGTCTGTCTGTCTGTCTATCTATCTATCTATCTATATGTCTATCTATCTATCTATCTATCTATCTATCTATCTATCTATCTATCTATCTATCTATCTATCTATCTATCTATCTATCTATCTATCTATCATAGATCATCCAAACCATCCATCCACCAATACAGGCTTATTTTTGTATGTCTTCAGTTCTAACTATTTAGGGCAAGTGGCAAAAAAATCTACGGGTCTCAAAGTAAAACTCTCGTGGCAAACTCCAGCACTGAATCTCCAGCAAACAAACAGCTTCACCCTCCTACTGACATCAACTCTCCCCCTCCCACAATACACGTAAAACAACTTCAGGGGGTCCTCAAAATACGGCCAACAAGGCCTGTTTCTTTGCCTCACCCACAAGGGACTTTTTGTGGCCGTGCTCTAAAAATGACGAGACATGGATTTCTTTGTGGAAAGGTTTACTAGCCCCTCTCCAGCATCTCCAATCAATTTTTTCGGAGGGTGGGGGCTTTTATAATTGGCCCATTTATTCTTCTCAGAAGCATTTCTTCTGCAGCACGGTGGGGCCAACCTCTCTGTATTCTTGCTGTGTGACCCACATGTTCTTAAAAGAGGGCAAGCTGGTGAGCACCGATGCGCCAATCCAGACGGAATGGATCCGGTCGGCTGGGGCTTCCAGCTTGGTCGGCAGGCCGTGAGGGCCCAGGCTTTGCAGCTCTTTGAGGAGACGTTCACTAAGGCCCGGAAAGAGGGTCGATCCTCCAGCTATGATGAGGCTTCTCCAGAGGTCCTGGTGGATGCTGCCGTCACATTTGGAGATGCTCTCGGCCATCATCTGGTGAATCCCCGGTGCCGTGACTCCAGCGTCCGTCGGGTTAAACAAGGATTCGGGAGCTCGGAAGAGCTGGTCCCCAATCTCCACAGGTGTGCCATCAGGAAGTGTGTATTCGCGAACGGGCCCTTTGTCCTTCTGCTGACTCGAATCCAGAGCCACGTAGCACAGATTCTCCTTGATGTTCTTCACAATCTCCTTCTCCGCAGAGCTCAAGAAGTTGTGCCCGCTCTCCAACAGAAGCGTTGCCAGATATCGGGTGATGTCGCGCCCGGCAAAATTCACCCTGGAGATGGCGTGTAGCAAGCAGTGGCCTTTGTAGATGGGGACGGTCAAAGTGACCCCGGCGCCGCTATCTAAAACCAACCCTGTTGTACGGGCAGAAGCATACAAGGCCATTAGAGCCTGAAGGCCTACAAACATGGCCGGCACCTGGAAATGCTCAAACATGATCTCTGTCATCTTCTCTCTGTTTGCTGTTGGGTTCATGGGAGCTTCGGTCAACAACACCGGCCTCTCCCTGGCTCTTACCTTAAGTCCATGCCTGTAGATGTATCTCCAGATCTTCTCCATATCATCCCAAGAGGTCACAATTCCGTGTTCCACTGGGTATTTAAAAGATAAGATACCTCTCTTGGCTTGGGCTTCCCTACCGACGTAACACATTCTCTGAACGGGGCCAAACATGACCGCGCGGGTCTTGGGGTAGCCAACAACTGTAGCCACCATGGTCCTGGGGGCCTCTTCTCCAGAAAAGCCCGCTTTGCAAAGTCCTGAGCCATTGTCAATAATGACAGCTATTCTGGATTGAGACATCTTCAATCCAAAGAACTGAATTTGTAACGACTGTTTTCCTAGCTCTAGTAGAACAGAACGTTCCGTCCGTCTAGGTTCTAGATCCTTGGATATCACAAAAGGGATTCTCCCTTTTCAAAACCAGCTTCTCACATTATGGACATATGACATATATTTCTGGAAACAAAGTCTTCTCCAAATAGCCAGGACTTGTCTTGGAGAGATTGCAAGCATCCACAGTGGAAATTGAGAGGTTGTTGTTGTTATTATTATTATTATTACAGTTGTCTTTCTGAACCCAGCTCAAAAACGATTCTTCAGGTGACCCAGGATGTTAAGGACCATGATGCTTCCTATCCTCCGATCCTAGAAACGAGCTCTGCGGTTTCAATTTTATTGGCAATTGCTCGTCTGGGGTGTTAAACTGGATTCTGATCTTCTCCATTGAATTTGGCCGATGTTTAATGGGCTTTTATTTTGATCTTCAGTGGTCAGCCAATGGAGACCAGCTTGAGGTTGACATCAGAAAAGCCCAATGACCTCAAAAGAGAACAATGGAAGTGATAAGATTAGTCTATATTGGTGGCCACCTGGGTTAATGTAAGGCTAATTGCAGTAGTCTAGCTAAGAGACTGCAGTAACGTCTGACAGAGTTTACCTTCCAGCTGGAAAACCATGGTTTTTTTCATCCTTCGGTGGGTTTAAAGCTCCTTGGCTCGTTTGACACACCGTGATTGTTGAATTAACCATAGTCTAGGTTTGCGGCAAGGCAGAGAAACTAGGCCAGGGGTAGGCAACCTTGGCTCTTTTATGACTCGTGGACTTCAACTCCCAGAATTCCTGAGCCAGCCATGCTGAGGGAAAGAGAGAGGTTTCCAAGCTGAGCCATGCTGGCTCAGGAATTCTGAGAGTTGAAGTCCACGAGTCATAAAAGAGCCAAGGTTGCCTACCCCTGAACTAGGCCAACAGGCAAAGTTCACACAACACACTAAGCTACAAAACTGAAAAGATTCAACTGAGGTTTAGCTCAGGGAGCTTGGCATGTGAACGGAATTGCTAAGCTTTTAACTAACCTAGTTTGGTGGGGTTGTATGAATGCAGCCACCAGGAGACAAGGGTCCACATTAAGGAAAGGCCAAGACTTCTCCACTTATGATCGCAACAGAGCCCAATTTTTTTTGTAGCTGAGGGAGACAGTTGTTAAGGGAGCTTTTGCCCCCTTTTACGACCTTCCTGGCCACCGTTGTTGAATCCTTACGGTTGTTAAGTGAGTCACATGGTGGTTAAGTGAATCTGGCTTCCCCCTTTGCTTGTCAGAAGGTTGCAAAAGGGGGAATCGCATGACCCCGGGACACTGCGACCGTCATAAATGTTGAGTCAGTTGCCAAGCGGCCAGATTTTGATCACATGACCATGGGGGACGCTGCGACGGTCGTAAGCGTGAAAAATGTAAGCGACTCGTCCCAGTGCCGCCGTAACTTCGAACGGTCACTACATGAGCCGTTGTCAGTCAAGAATCACCTCTAGCACTTAAGGTATCTAGGCAGGAAATACATTAAATCTGGTAGTTTCTCAGGCCTTAAAATCAATTATTTATTTAACCTTTTGGGGAAAGGGTGAAAGCTTGTGTTCTGTTTCGTTTTAACCGCCTTCCGCTCTCTGAGACATCTTCCTGTCCCCTCTTCAATAGCACCGTCGGTGGACAATATTCGGCCCGTATTCCCGGTAGTCGGCAGCAGTCACCCACATCTGCTTGAAGGTGCTCAAGGACGTGATGATGGAGGCCCCGATCCAGGCCGAGAACCATCGGTCTGGCGGAGCAATGACCTTAATGGGGACCCCCTGGGGGGCTTCCCCTTCCAAGCCTTTGAACATCCGTTCGTCTAATCCTGGAAAGAGGGAGGACCCTCCTGAAATCAGTACGTTGGAATAGAGCACGTTACGGAGCGTGGGGTCACATTTCCTGACGCTGTGGGCCACAAGCTTGTGGAGGCCTTGACCCTTGTGGTTGATGTTGCTCGGGGTGAAAAGGATCTCCGGAGCCAGGTAAAGGGGGTCCCCAATTTTGACCCTGTTGCCGTCAGGTAGCTTGTATTCCTTGGGGAGCTCTTCGGAGGACTTGCTTTCTCGGTGGCGGGCGTCGAGAGTCACAAAACACAACTTGACCTTGATGTCTTCCACCACGGTGTTGGCTTCCGGGAAGTTCCAGAAATATTGCCTGTTTTCCAGAAGAAGTTCCCTCAGGAAGTGCGTGATGTCACGGCCCCCGAGGCCCAGCTGGGTGACCGCGTGGGGCAGACAGTATCCCTCGTACACCGGGACGGCATGGCTGACTCCAAACCCACAATCGATGACCATCCCCATGTAACGGGCGGAAGCGTAGAGGGAGAGGATGGCCTGGATGGAGAGGTAGAAAGCCGGGACCTTAAAATATTCAAACATCAACTGGGTGAGCTTGGCTCGGTCCTCTTTTGGATTCAGGGGAGATTCTGTCATCAGCAGAGGTCTCTCAAACGCCTTCACCCCCAACCCTTTGTCATAGATATACTTCCAGATGGTCTCCATCTCATCCCAGGAAGTGATAACGCCCGCTTCCATGGGGTACGTCAACGAGAGGACATCTTGTCTATGCTGGGCTTCAAATCCCACGTAGCATTCTTTCTGCTTAGCCTTGGAAACAGGCAACTTGCTTCTGGGGCAACCGAGGACGGTGGCCATGACGTGCCGTGGGCTAATTTCTCCAGAAATCCCGGATTTGCACATTCCAGAGCCATTGTCGATGATCACGGCTTGCGAGCTGGAGATTCGAGTCTTAGATGCAAAACCTTCACGGCCCATTTCAGAAGAACGTCTACCTGTTCAGCACCTGACCATAGGCATGGTGTGGCAGACCCAAAGGAGTATCTTTGAGAGTTCCCTGGGAATAAAAACACTTGTGGTTTCTCAGTACCTTATCACGGTCTCTCTGATTTGAGAAAAAATGGAAAAATGGTCCATAGCCATGACTTCACAATGAATGAGGCCCTGCCTAACCATTGTTTAGTTGTCTCTAGGAGACCAGAAAGTTCAAGAGGGCCTTCAAAGCTATTTTGATGGAGACGTGATTTCAACTCTTCTCTTGGTCAAGATCCATTAGCTTACCCAAAGACGGTCTTCAGAATTTAGGATGAGACCAGAAAGTTCAAGAGGACCTTGATGGAGACAAAGATGACTTCAACTCTTCTCTTCCATTATCTTGCCCAGAGATGGTCTTCAGATATTTAAAATAAAAACTACTTCTGGTCCAATGATGACTTTCTAAGAATCCCTCCTACTCTATGATTGCATGATTCTTCCCTGTTCTTTTTGAAGGTGTGTTTGACCTACTGCTGGAGGCATCAAATGGTGGGTTGTTGTTGTTTTGCTGGTGTGGGTTGGTGTTTCCAGTTTTACATTTTTCTCTACAACTTCTCTGGTTGCTCCTGAAAAAAGCGCTTGGATGTGGAAACATTTCCAGAGGAACCATTTTCCACACTGCCTGGAAGTCTGTTGGAAGGGCCCTTGGAGGTCTTCTAGTCCATCCCCTTCCTCAAGCATGAGTCCTTCTACCCTTCTCTGCTTATAATAAAAATTACCCAAAAATGGAATGACCACTAGAGGGCCTCCAAGAGATCAAAGATGTTTTTCCTTGTTGCTGCCCTCCCCCTACTGGTAATCTGGAGGATTGCACCTGGTTGGAAAAGCACTAGATTTATAGAGATGCTGACCGTAAGAAGGAAAAGCCAGTGAAAACCGTATAAAATGTTTTTGGTTTTTTTTGGTCTCGGATTGATTTGGTAATTAAGATGGCCCTTTTTCTGCCCAACCCTTGTTTATTTTCAGGAGCATAATTGATCAACACATACCTCCAACCCGTTTTGTCTCTTTGGCCCTCCCCATCTCAGCGTTTTTCAGTTGCCACGGGAAGCGAGTCCATCATATGTCTTTATTAAGCAAGGAAAGCAAAATAGGGCTTCTGAAGAACAAAATACAAGGAAGAAACAGCACCATGATCCTTACGCCCATCACTCCGTCATTTATTTACTGCAAATTCCAGCCAGTCAATACATCCGAAGACAGATTTCATATATATATATATATAATACACACATACGAGAAATCTGTCTTGGGATGGACACAGCAGAAGTTCAAAGATTTAGGTATTTTCCGTGAACGTCCCACGTCCCTCTAATTGTTTGAACTTCCACTGTTCTAAACGCCTCTACAAAGGGAGATGATCATTCCTAGAAACATTTCCGGTGCACCACACCAGGTCCAAATTCTTGGTAATCATTCAAGGTGACCCACATCTGTCTGAACGCCGTTAAACAAGTCAATATGGAGGCCCCGATCCACACGCAATACTTCCTTTCTGGAGGAGCGATGATCCTGACCGATATCCCAAGAGGAACCTGAAGTTGCATCTCTTGCAAGATGCGCTCGTCCAGCCCGCAGAACAAGGTCGATCCGCCCGAAAGGAGAACGTTGCCGTAAAGATCTCGTCGGACGTCAATATCGCATTTCATGATGCTGTTGAAGATCATCCGATGGACGCCGGGCGCGTCGATGCCGATGTAGGTGGGGGCAAAGAGGGCTTCAGGAGCTCGGAAGAGTTGACTCCCAATTTGGATGACGTTTCCGTCGGGTAATTTGTACTCTCTGAGAAGGTACTCTGGTTTAGTTTTCATTTCTTGGACGGGATCTAACGCTACATAACACAGCTTCTCCTTGATGTCCTTCACAATTTCTCTTTCGGCTGTGCTGACGAAGGAATGCCCGCTCTCCAGAAGAAGCCTCATAAAGTATTCCGTGATATCCCGCCCGGCGACATCTAACCTGGAGACGGCATGGGGTAAGCAGTACCCTTCATAGATAGGAACCGTGTGGGTGACCCCATCTCCACTGTCCATGACTATACCGGTGGTACGTGCTGATGCGTAGAGGGCCAGTGTGGCTTGGACCGCCACATACATCGCCGGGACCTTGAAGTTCTCGAACATGATCTGAGTCATTCTCTCCCGGTTCTGGAGAGGATTCAGAGGAGCTTCAGTCAGCAACACGGGCCTCTCGCTCGACTTGATGCGCAACTCACACTCATAAACGTGCCTCCAGATGCGCTCCATGTCATCCCAGGAGGTCACAATGCCGTGATCGATGGGATAATTCAAGGATAAAACGCCCCGTTTGGACTGAGCTTCTTCTCCGATGTAATATTCCTTCTGGCCTGCTCCGAGCATGGTTGCTTTGGCTTTTGAGCGACCCACAATTGCCGTAATGACTGACCTCGGAGCGCTGTCTCCAGCAATGCCAGCCTTGCATAATCCGGATCCGTTGTCAAAGATGACCGCCGGGATATCTAAAAATCTGGGATCGGACATTCCATGGACTGTGGCTTGCTCACCTGGAGAAACGGTCTGGATTGGAGGCCGCTTAGAATGCTGGGAGGGAAAAGCTTCTAGAGCAGTGATGTCACACACAATACTTCTTCAAGGGAACTGCTAGCAGAGAGTTTGGAAAGATGCTACAGGATGCTACTCCCAATGTTAATAACAGAAAAACAGAGTTGGAAGGGACCTTGGAGGCCTTCTAGTCCAGGGGTCCCCAATCCCCTGGTCCGTGGACCAGTACCAGGCCACGGCATGCCAGCAACCAGTCCGCACAAACAAGCAAAGCACCATCCGTGGGATGCAGGCAGCACACAAAACCACACACCCTCCAGAACCAATTCATGCTGAATACCGAGATACCCATTATAATGGTTGATGTCTGGATGAAGGCATCAACATGGGAAAAGGAGAACTTTACAAGAAGTTTTTAAGAAGAGATTGGACAGCCATTTGTCTGAAATGGTACAGGGTTTCCTGCCTGAGCAGGGGGTTGGACTAGATGACCTCCAAGGTCCCTTCCAACTCTGTCGTTCTATTCTATTCTATTCTATTCTATTCTACTCTACTCTACTCTACTCTACTCTACTCTGCTCTGCTCTGCTCTGCTCTGCTCTACTCTACTCTACTCTATTTACTCTACTCTACTCTATTCAGAGTAGCCCAAAGAATGGAAAACATAAAGGATTCTGGGAAGGAGAAGACACGAGTTCAAGTAGAACCGGTTTACTTTTTACTCACCCAGGGGCAAGGAGTTCATTCCAATCTCTGCCTTTCTTCTCCTTCTATCCTGGATCAATGCAATTTATTTCCAGGGCTCTTTTGGTTTTTCTGCTTTGTTTTTATTTTAAACCATTGAAACCAATGGCCCAGTTAATGAGAATTGCAAGGGGAAACTCACAACAGGTCTCAGGGTTATATTTTAACTGATTCTGCTTATGGCTAGGAATGAAAAGTATCCATCTTTTTTTCCTGGGGGGGTGGTAGTGGTGGTGGAAGAGAAGATTATTGTGATTTCCAGGGCTTTAATTCTACGTTATATTTTGTTCCCCCTTTTTTTAACTATGTGGTGGGAAGGTGCTGAAGATGGCGAGGTTGAAAAAAACCCAAGCCAAAACATAATTGCATTAAATTAAATAAGGGTGTGAAATGAAATAATAAGTGCATTAAATTAAATAGTAAATCCGTCGTCGCATTCAGTTGAATAATAAAATTACAGGGAGTCCTCAGCTTATAACAGCAGCACTGGGGAAAAAATTATGACCGTTTTTCACACTTATGACCACACTTTCTTCCCTTCCTCCTCCCTCCCTCCCTGCTGTTATTCCTTCCTCCCTCCTTCCCTCCCTCCCTCCCTCCCTTCTTCCCTCCTTCCCTTCTTCCCCATCCTAATAACCTGTTTAGAAAGAAAATTAAGGGCTAAAAAAGAATTCTCTGAATAGAGAACAAAATAGAGAACCAGGGGCAAATGGAGGAACATTTATTTCTCTCCCCCCCCAAAAAAAAAACATCGACAGCAGAGGGGAAGAGAGTAAAAAAGGAATTATAAACCGCACAAATAAAATGATAGAAAGAAAGAAGATGGAACCGTGGGGGGAGAGGCCGGCAGGGGTGGGGGAGAGAGAAGCCCAAACCTATAGCATTATCCTTTTATGGGAAACTTAAATTACTGACTTGGTAACTTGCAAATCCCCCTGGCTTCCTCAGACAGGGCCATCTACTTCTTAAACCCATTCCGTCCATCTGCTATCTCTGGAGGGAACGGGACTCTAATCACACCACGCAGAAAGTAATCAAACCCTTCTGCTCTTGAGATCAGCAAGCAAGGAGGTAAAACTCTAAGGAGCACAGATTTAATTCCAAAGAATCTAGGTGTGTGTGTGTGTGGGGGGGGGAGAATGGCATTTCCAGCTGCATATATTATGTCCCACTTTGGGGAAAGTGTGCGGGTTTTTTTCCCTCTTTCTTTCAACATTGCGCGAAGCTCAAGATCTAATATTTGAATAGCACGCTTGGCTGGCCATGTACATGTTTAAGGTCCCACACGCAAACCACAGGCCAACAGTTTAGAGCAGTTTGCCAAGTTTAAGATGGGTGGACTTCACCTCCCAGAATTCCCCAGCCAGCCAGCTACCTACCTACCTATCTATCTACTTATCTGCTTGCCTGTCTACCTATCTACTTCTCTACCTATCTATTTATCTACCTATATATCTATCTACCTGCCTATCTGCCAGTCGCATAATTTCATGGGTAAAGTTTGTGTCTGGCTTTCTTATTGATATTGATTGATTGATCGAACTGCTATCTGTCTTCCTAATTGTACCTTGTTCTCCCTTTATCTACTGGGAGACAGTGTGTACTCAAGATTTGCACACCCATCTCACTCACAGAGTTAAAACCAGTTTCCCCACCTTCTTCTCATAATTACGAGGA